TATTTTTTTTACTGTGGTTTGGGGCACTACATTTAACCTAAGTGCATTTTTCACTAAATTTCTGGAATTCATAATAAGTTGCGCTAATGTCGTACAACATAAACATTTTACAACTGCCACCATTGTATTCTAAAGGGTCTTGGCTTTCAGAAAATATATAGTGTTTGGGGGTTTGAAGTAATTTTCAGGCCTAAAATGTGGATTAAAACATGTAAGCAAAAACAAAAAAAAGGCCTTTGCCCTTAAAGGAATGATAACAGTAGAATGTGAACATAATGTAAGTCGTTACTTACTGATGTACAAACACCATCTACGGTCCTGCTGCACACTGATAATCAATAGTCTTTGTGTAGCTGGACTCAGATGTACTTGTTGTCACAGTAAAGGTAATCGTATGCGATCGTTTTTTCGTACGATAATCGAGCAGTGAGAACGGAGACGTGCGACCGTTTCTACTGTACGGTCGCACGTCTTCTGTCGAACCAGCATGTTCGAAAACCAGCCGGGAATCGTACGATTCTTGGCTGGTTAGAACGGTGCTCGGAAGATAAGTGCCGAACGGGCCGGTGTGCGCACGCGCACACTGCCCGTTCAGCATTGCGGTCATCGGAAGCCCGCCCCTCAGGGGGGCGGGCTTGCGATGATCGAGAGTGCGATCTGCCTGTCCAAGATAGGCAGATCGTACGTTTTTTTAATCCCTGTACAACCATGGCAAGACTAAAGTCTTGCCATGGTTGTAGAGTGTATGGCCACCTTTACACTCTTCTGTAATAGAATTGTAAATGATGTTAATGTGTTACCAGATACAGGTGAATGTGTAAAATAGATGATTGCTTCTGCTAATGACAATGAACTTTGTATGTGTGGCAGGGAGAGGAGCTCGGTCCGTGGGCTGTTGCCTATTATCACGCTATATGGCACAGTCTGCTCTCTTTAATATGTGAGAATGGACATGTGCAGTCTCCAATATGAATAGTAATTGTTAAGCTGGCCATACACCTATAGCTTCTCTGCAGATTTTCTATGGTCAGATGGAAAAAGTGCAACAGATTCCTATATCTGCGCTAAACTGTGTGGGTGGACACCTGAACAATGCCTGCATCCAATCAGATTGTTCAGGTATTTTGACAGCCAGCGGGGCCAACTAGCAAGATACTGAAGCTTGGCCCAGTGGGAGATCCCTCCATCCACACAGTTTAGCATAGATGGAGGAATCTGTTGCACTTTCTCCATCTGACCATAGAAAATCTGCAGATAATCTATAGGTGTATCATGGACAGCTTTACCCTCCAGTGAGCAGATACTGAGCTTATGGGGGTCTTAAGTCAAGCTGACAATGTGGTCTTCAGTAGGCTTGTGTGATTGAAATTCGTAAAATTTTTTGGAAATTCAGATGCAAAATTTTCCTTATCAAAACTTTCTATATGTTCGGATGTGCCAAATTTTATTTCAATGTCATTCGGAAATAATTTATGTTGTTAAACGATAAAATAAAAAAAAAAACAGCGTGGAGTCCCATCCCCAATTCATACCAGACCCTTTAGGTCTGATAGGAATTTTAGGGGGGAACCCCAAATCCAAAAACAAATGTGTACGATCCCCCTTAAAACCCATATCAGACCATTAAAGCACCTTGTTCTCATGTTGATGAGGACAAGGGCCTCTTCCCCACAATCCTGGCCCGGTGGTTGTGGGGGTTTGCAGGCAGGGGGGCTTATAGAAATCTGGGTGCCCCCTTTCGTAAAGGGAGCACCCAGATGCCTCCCCCCCTCGTGAATGAGTAAGGGGTAGTTGTTACCCCTACTCTAGTGGCATAACTATCCTCATAGCGATCGTAGCGGTTGCTTTGGGGCCCGGGCAGAGGGGGGCCCAGTCAAGAGGCTGGGGCCCGGTGGCTGCGGTGGTGGAGGACAAGGCCAAGGCCTGGCAGTGACGGTGGAGGAGGCTAGGGCCCTGCGGCGCCGGTTGAAGGAGGAGACCCAGGGTCCATCAGTTGTGGCGGAGGTGGAGGAGGCCGGGCCCAGCAGCGAGTGGCTCAAAGCTGACAGGTAAGAGTAGTGCAGGGAAAAGGACTCCCGACCAGCCCACCAGAGACCCTGCAGAGCCCACCATAGAGAGTGTATGGTGTACTCTGCAGGGTCACTCTCAGGTGGCCTATTAAAGGTCTCTGGTATGTGCAGGGCCTATGGTGGGCTCTGTGGGGTTTCAGGTGGGCTCTATGGTGGGCTCTGTTGGGTCTCAGCGGGGTCTATGGTGAGCTCTGCAGGGTCACAAGTGGGTTCTGCAGGGTCTTGGGTGGGCTCTGCAGGGTCACTCTCAGGCAGGCTCTGCAGGGTCTCGGGTAGGCTCTGCAAGGTCTCAGGTGGGCTCTGCAGGGTCTCAGGTGGGCTCAGCAGGGTCTCAGGTGGGCTCTGCCGGATCTCTGGTATGTGCGGGGTCTCAGGTGGGCTCTGTGGGGTCTCAGGTGGGCTGTGCAGGGGGGTGCTCTCTCCCTGCGTGCGGGGGAAGAGGCAGAGCGGGAGGGGGGCCAAGTCGCTGCATCATGGGCCTCTGTGTTGTACTTGCCCCCTGGGCTAAAAGTTGCCAGTCAGCCCCTGATCCCTGCACAGGTCAATCATGTCGTCCTGCGAAGAAAAAAAGAAAGGAAAGAAAAGAAAAAGAAGAAAGAAAAGAAGAAACGGAAATGAAGTGTGATTGGGTGCTATAGGAAACAAGAAATAATTGGGAGAACATGATAAGCATTTCACAGTGGGGGATGATGACCCGGTCACAGTTCCGGGAAAACTAGCACAGAGTAAAGTGGATAAAGAGTGTTTATGGCAACCAACTAAAGATACCAGCCCTGGTGTCCTGTCCAATTTCACAGGATATAAAGGAAAAGCTTTCCGGGAAGAATCAAAGCCATTACAGATCCGTTTCCCCCCCCAAAAAAATCAAGTTTCCTGGCGTCCTGCTGACCCGCTGGATTGCATATTTTAAATTATCCAAAACAAGTATGCAGGTAACTTCCTGGGACATTATTCTGACTTTTTTTTATCTCATCCTTTCTTTCTGTCAGTGACTATGAAAATAATAAAGCCAAAGGATCAACATATCCCAGCTATATATTTTGATTTAATTTTTCACAGGCTTTAATATTGTTTTTGTTCCCTTCGGGGGGGATTCCATTCTCATCTCCAGTTTGTTCTGACATCCTGATCACTAGGACAGGAAGTGAGGGGAAATCTCCCGAACAGGGGCAAACAACTCAACACAGGTTTTAAATCTTCCCTGAAACAAAAATTTTTGGCTGGAGGAAGAAAACAGGAAGTGTCTGTTAATATTAGTGACTATCTAATGTCTCAATGCACTTTTACATAACATCGCCAATTTATATAAGCACTCAGCTGCTCAGGGTATTTCCCAGAGGGTTAGGAAACGTATAGGACTGCCCTACTGTCCTGCGTATGTTACCACCTTAAAATCATAAGAGGCAGTAGCAGCCCTATAACAAATAACTAGTAGTAATGCTGCAACAGTCACCAGCACTCAGAGAATGATTTATTGTACAAACATCACAAAACGTATACTAACAGGTTGGGGCCACACAGAGTTATGAAAATATAAAAATGCCCTTAGGGCTTGTTCACACCGATAGCGTATGCGTTGCAGAGCGGTAGCTGCTGGACCGCACCGCGATCGCTAAGAAACTTCCCCCCTGGGTTCTGGGGCAGGAGGGGGCCTGGCGGTGCATTGATTTCAATGGCACGGCTTCCACACCCCCAATCAGCTACCGCTCTGGAATGCACACGCTTTTGGTGTGAACAAGTGCACATGGACATGTCCCAGTCTGGATATTCCACCCATGGGACACAAACAGCAAAATATAACCAATCCAAAACTATTAAAAAAATTAAAATTGGGCTATACATAAATAATAATAAATTAAAGAATCGATCTTAGTCCCCCATTTACACCTAGGTGTTTTGTTGCTCAAAGGTAAGCGTGACAAAACACTCAAGACAAGGAATCTCATTGATATCTATGGCCCCTGTCTACACCTGAGTGTTTGTTGTGCGTTTTGTTGCACAAAGTTTGCCATTGAAGTCTATGGGACCAAAAGCGTAATTTTCCAAAAAGTAGCTCATGCTACACCCATGGCGAAAACATGCACGTGATGTCATCGCGCACGCGTATGATATCCTCATGTATGTGCGAAATGACGTCACGTGCACTTAACTGCTGGTGGCCGTCTTGGTGATAGACGCTGGCAAAGAGAGGAGGGGACGTTCATCCGGCGGGAAAAGGTATCCCCTCTTTTCTCATGCAGCTGACCATAACTTAGTGCCCGACTTTTTGGAGGGGGTGACACCAAAATGACTGTCAGTCATGACAGTGAGGCCACTGAGCTCATGTACTTTTTCCAACTACAGGCGTTTTTCTGCAAAACGCTCAACTGTAAACAGGGGCCATTGAAATGAATGGGATTCCTTGTCTTGAGCGTTTTGTTTGCGCTTACCTTTGAGCGACCAAACGTCTAGATGTGAATGGGAACTTCACACCTAGGCGTTTGATTCCGTACAGAGACGCTAATTTGAATCCGCCCAATGCTAGAAAAATTGCAACAATGGCCGCCATCTAAAAACCTGAAAATTTTGGAAAACTTTGCAACGTATTCTCTAACCTCAAGGCCTGTTGATCTCAGGGCCCTTCAATTACTAATGCAATGCGCGTAGTTCGGTGTTTACACTGCTGCCTTTGTATATTGCCCGGCGCCGGTCAGCGCAGTGTTAATAGATGACGTTGCACCTCCGCTGGCCTTTCATTGGCTGCTCCATTGTCCTTCTGTCAGCCCATGCTGGCTGCGGAATTTCCCTAGTCTGTGAGTCATCAGTTAACCCTCACCGCGCTGGACTGCAAGGAGGAGAGGCAGCCAGTGTCTCTCGATCCAGGATTGAAAGGGTGAAAGTGCAGGGGGAGAGAGGAAAGTAAGGGAGGGGAAAGCAGACACAGGGAGGAAGGAGGAGGGGGGATCTTGTTTTGCTCTGTCCTAGTTATGGGAAGTACAGTATGAACTAAGCTGAAGACACTGAGCTGAGCTACACAAGCCAGCGGCAAGTGAACCAGTCTACAAGCCATAGAGAGCCAAGCTGGGGTGCATAGAGACTGCGGCAGAACAGGTGACCACGGTTGAAGAGCGAACCACTCAACAGAGGTGGACTACCTGGGATCCACCACTTACGGCAACTCCCTAGAGATGTCTCATGATATAGGCTGTGAGGACCCCACAGTGCACAGCCCATCACAACATACGGTCTATGTCCTGGTGGGCTCCAATGCAGACAGCATCCAGCTGCTGAGGTAAGGCACAGCTTAGTTACGCTCACTATCGCCTCGTCGTTTGCATGCGCGTCTCCCAGTTGGCCCCTCGCGGCTTGTGTTGGTGCAGAGTGCGTGGCTGGCGAGGAGACGGTTGCTTACAATCGGGCTGTATAAAGCTGACCCCATACGGTACGGGTTTTGTCACACCTGAGACATCTATGGCAAGCCAAAGCGATCAGAAGGCAACTTTTACTTTGGGGGTGAGGTTGGGGAGAACGCCTAAGCTGCTCGGGTTTTATACAAACACAGGGTACCATTGCGGGGAGGCTGTGCCATACCATGGTTGCCGTCGGTCCCTGTTTTCCAAGACATGTCCTGCCTTTTGAAAATTTGTCTTAGGAAACTTTTGTCCCTGACCATCTGCACCACCTTCATTTTCTTCCTGCAGGTTTCATTCTTAATTAATGGCCTCCTGATCTGTACTTTTACTATGTTTTGAAAAACACATATTGGATATGAGGTGTTTATTTGGAACTCTAATATTCTTGCCAAACAGAAAAGTGTTCCTGGAAGTGATTGCAAAATGTTGGCAGCTATGCTGTACTGGTGGGTAGACCACTTGTGAAGATGGTTAGAGGGGACCGGCCAAGCCGTTACTCTTGCTCTGAGGAGTAACTGCAAGTCCCAGCATGGACAGAGACTTGTAGGTACTTGGCATTTGAAGGGGAGCAGCTTGTCCACATCTGGCTGGGTATGAGCAAGCAATCCCACCGTTTTCAGTGCCATTTTCGACAATCAGTCTATGTAACGAGCACTTCCCATCATCTAAAGTTATTGTAATTGCACAAAAGATTTTCCAGTATGTTGGAAAACATCCTCACAACCGATGGTCTGTCATGCCCCTTTTAATGCATAATAAGGGGAACAGGCTTAAAAAACATTATAGTTGTAGGATGGATAGACGCCTCACAGCCCATCATTCTGGGGTGCTGAGGAAAGAGGGGGGCCACAGGCAGGAGGAACGCAGTGAAGCAATACGCAGCTTTTGCTTAGTCATTCAGCTCAAAGCAGCCACAGGAAAACAAGGACATCGGTCTGTTTGTATTTAATAATCCAGCAGGCTCAACATGGCAGCCTCAAATTACACCCCTGGCCCTGAAGAGGGTTAATCAGTCAGCACCAGCCTAATAAATAAAAGAGGGCAAACATCAGCCAGACTGTGCAAAGTGCAGGAACCCGCAGCAGCCAATCACGTATCAGTTTACTGTTGTCAGATCGGTGAAAGATGAACTCTGATTGGATGCTATGGACTGCGGTAGGTTGCACATTGCCCCACATTTAAGGCGGGGAAAAGTCAGTGAAATATTAAAACAGCTTCCATGGACACATTAGTGAGCCCCAGACCATCCGCTGACTTCTTGATAATGTAGCTGCATGTGAATTGCATATAAAACGCAATTTAAACGATTACTAGATCTTGGAAGACGGAGAATAGGTGAAGATTTATTAGGTCAGAACTGGAAACAGACAACAATCATTGACAATTAGGGACTAGCTGGTCATGATTAAATAAAGGGAAGGAGGGTTGTTTATACAGGTACGGCTATGACAAGGGAGTAGCAAGCGAGAGGTTAAGTGGTCCTGGACTGCTGGTTCTTCATATCAGTCTAGGGTTAATGTATAGGCTTGTCCTTGTCCACAAACAAGTGAGAATAGCTGACTTCAGCAGTACCCCCTCCTCTCCTTTCCTCCTTCCTTTTAGACTCTTTGAATTGTGCAATCCTTGGTATCCAGCAATCTGCTCATACACATCAAGGCCCCCTGGCTAAGAGCAAAGGGGCCCCTCTTGGTTGGCCCCCTTAATCTGTATTGCATCATGCAAAGTCCATTGCAAAAAAAAAAAAGGAGACAAAATGCCACTTAGGCATGTGGGATAATATACAAATCGGTCAGCCCCAGACAGTGCAAAGTCCCATAGCTATCACAGTCCTATTCCCAGCATCACTGCTCTGCTTTAGTAAATAAGACTTATTTATTAAGCCAAAGGGCATGGCATAGCCATTCAGTAGCCACCATACTTTAGCTTGCTCTAGAGCAGTGGTTCTCAACATGTGTAACCTCAGGGCCCACATGTTGTCCTTGGTCATTAAGTCGAACCGCACTAGAACGCACGGCATTGTGGTACTGCGCATTCTGATGCGGGTGATCAAACTGTGGGCCGGAGGTGCATTTGGGGTGCCATTCAAACAAATGACACGCAATGCACCTCCTGACTAGAATGCGTGGTAGGTGCGATTGCGCGGTATAGTGCGTTAACCACGCGATTAGCTTACTGTACTAGTGTGGACAGGCCCTCAAAAAAACTGACAAACACACACAACCAATTTCACACACTCACAGACATTCTAACACACACTCCAAGAAAATGTAATTTGTTTTCCTTTAAGGCCCACCCAGTCTCCCTACCTTACAAAAACTGTCCAGGGTCCTGTGTGAGCTGCTGTGTGACAGAGCGCTATCCATATGTGTATTGCTTGTACAGCTCCCTTGCGCGCTCTGTAGAGGTGACGAAAGCAAGAATGTGACGTCACTCTGGTCCAGACATGGCCTGGAAGGCACGCGGCGACCCACTAAATATGGGGCTGCAATAGGGTTGCCACCTGTCCAGGATTCACCCGGACAGTCCAGTTTTTGAGTCCTGTGTCCAGGTTTCAGGCCAGCTGACACCAGGACAAAAGACACTAAGTGCTGGCCAGAGGTCCCGTGCTTGCTGGGGACCTCGGCAGCCTTCCTGTGAGCCGCAGGTGCCTGTAAACATCTGTCTTCCTGACACCATACTGCCCGCCCCTGGTGAGACAGCCCGCACAGCACTCCTGAAAGCCTGCATAGCCCACCTGAGAGCCCGCATAGCCACCTGAAAAATGCTGCATGCAGCGCTTGTGTTCGGGTTTAACTTGAAGAAAAGGTGGCAACCCTAGGCTGCGACCCACTTGTTGAGAACCACGGCTCTAGAAACATGACATGGAGAAAGTGATTGGCCCGCCATGAGATGAAATGCAGACAGATTGTTTTTCAGGCACTGTAAACCTAGTTCTATTCCATATTGCTGTATTCTGCAATAAACATGAGGGCGGCCATAATAAACAGTGCTAGGAAGAATGCAGCCTGGCTGGAAAAAGTGACCTCATTCAGGCCAGTGATGTAACTTGTTCTGCTGAATATTACATCACCTAAATAACTGGCTTATGTATGAACTGGATTCCCTCGTGTGGCCAGGAGCAACAATTCACAAACTTCCCCCACATGTGTGATGGTGCAGGATTTGCATGGGGAGGAAGGGGCAGAATTTAGGAGAAAGGTGGAGATAAAGTTGGACTTAGACATTCGAGAACAGTTGCACATGAATGCCCAATCTGAGTCTCACAATGTCTGCTGGGCCGGTTTGTCCCCTAAACAGGAGTGGTCTAGTACAATGGTAGGCAACCAACTGTGGTGAAACTTCAAATCCCATCGTCACTCTGCCTCTGGGAGTCATGCCTGTAACTGTCAGTCTTGCAATGACCCATGGGACTTGTAGTTCCACAACAGGCCAAGGTTGCTCTTTTTGAAGATACCAGGTGGGAAATTGTCAGCTGGACAGTGACTGTGTCCAATCAGCTGCAGTCAGTGTTCGGTATTATGACAGCTGCAGATGCCAGCTGTCTGAATGCGATGGTTGGCAGGGAAGATTCCTCCATCCATACTGATAAACATAGGGCTGAGCTAGAAAAAATCTTCATGTGTATAGCTAGCTTAAAGTGCCACAATAACTTTCTCTTCCTCCTAGAAACACAACAGAGAGTGAGAGTTAGACAGCTGACACAGGAATAGGTGTCCCCCATTGGAAGATTTTGCCCATATTCCTTTTCCGGTGACAACAGTAAAAGTTTGTCATTACTGTCACTTTGTGTCCTGGTGAAAATATGTATTTTGAAAAATAGAGAGTGAATCTCCCAGCAGGGATATAGACTTTAATTGGAACCTGAAAGAGATTCTTCAAAACCAAAAAAAAAGTTTGAATATTTGGAATTTAAAGAGGAAACAAGCTCTTTATTATTCCCCATTAGTGACATACCATGCCTTGTTCTGCACTGGGTCCCTGAGTGGGGGCGGCCATCTTGGTAGAGGCAGGGCTTTGCTTCCTCATGTCAAAACCTCCAGCAAAGAGAACAGTGAGCAGCACAATAGTATCAGGGTAATTGTAAACACGGAATGACGTTTAGTAAATTACTGCCAGCTATAAACAATTGCTATTTAAAACAGAGCAACAAATACTTGTTCTCCCCTTTTTTTCATCCTGTGTTGCATCTCAGTGCTCTGATCGCCTCCAGTCTTTTCAATGCCACTTCCTGTCTACATGTACAGCGATGGCTATATGGCATTTCTTAGTTCAGGTTTACTGATGGTGACAACAGGGGACCATGTCTAGGTAAAGGATGCTGAAATGGCCACTTGTAGTCTTCATGGGAAGTGTGACAATGCAGGAGCCCAGTTGGGAAACCGGAACAGATCCTTGTCAGTCTATAACAGGAAGTGCCTTGATGGCAGGATCGCCAGGTATAATTCTAATGAAAGTTGCCTATTTAATGAAACTTAAAATGAATTCAGTAAAGTATTATGAAATATTATATGGTATTCTAGCGATTGGGTTTACATATCGGTTGGGAAGGGTCTAGCGTTACACTTTGGCATTAAGGACACTTTAACTTGATTTTAATGCCAAGCTAGCGGCACTGAAGCTAATTTAAGGCAATTTCTATGTAGATCTCACATCGGAGATTTTAAGCTGACCATACATGTTAGTTTTCTCTCATTTATTCCAGCGGGATGATTGAAATAATTCAATAGGTTCTCTATAGATCCCCCTTCCAGGCTAAAAAGTGTGGAAGGAGAAATCTTCCCTTTGGCCTATTGTATTCTAACAGTCAGCACCCATGGCTGTCTACATACCAAAGAGTGACTGCAGCTGATTGTCACAATTTTCCACCCGGCTCTTATTTTTCAATCGAAGTTTGTCGAGACGGGTAGTGCCGGCAGAGCCGCCCACTGTTAGAATGTCTTCTAATTCCTGTGAATTGCCCAAAACTCTTTATGCCCAGCTTTAGACTCACCAGTTTTCCAGCTGATATCTAAATAGCTTGTTACCAGCAGTAACAATGACCACCATATCCCTAGCTTTTATGTATATGTATTTATGGCTATAAAATCTGTCCAAGAATGCACAACGATCAATGCACATCACATCCACATGGCCATGCATGAATGAAAAAGCTTTTTTGTTAACAGCACCACTGGCAATACTGAGAACTATTCTGTTCTGCAAGAAAATAGCTGATTGCAAACATAAGCTGGAAATGTTTGTCTGAAATGAGCCCTTCATCCAAGAGGTACCAAAGAAAAACGCAGAGCAGGTATTTTATACTCTCATACCATGGCAAAGCATCTGCTCATGTGTTTACCAATAAACCTGCTCACCTGTATCGCCACAGAAAGTGGCGTCATACCGCACACAGTCTCAGGTGAGATTTTATGGAAAGTTCCGCGCTTAAAGAATGCAGCCTGACCGGAAGAAGTGACATCATCGGACTTCTACACAATAAACACACTGAAGATGAAATGGAAGAATTGCGTGTGTGTGTGTATGTATATATATATTGTGCCCTAATGGAAATGGATGCCTTTTGTGTGGCTGCATTTTCCTCTACTAGCTAGGCCTTAGGCCTGAGAACCTCACAAAGTTGTAACTATTAAACATATAGGGGGGAATTGATCAAAACTGGAGCAGATAAAATCTGGAGCAGATTTGCACTGCAGCCAATCAGCTTCTCTGTCTCATTTTCAAATCTTAAGGTCCCCACACACCTTACGATAATCGCGGGAAATCCTGCGATCGTACGATTATCGTAAGGTGTGTGGAAGCCGTGCGACCTCTACTACTGTAAGGTCGCACGACTTTAAACTTACAAACAGTTTCAAAACCCGCCGAGCATCGTACGATGTTCGGCGGGTGTGTAGCATGTTCGTGAGATAAAAGCCGGACTGCCCGTTCGGCATTGCGGTCATCGGAAGCCCGCCCCTCAGGGGGCCTGGCTTGCGATCATCGCAAATACGATCTGCCTATGCAAGATAGGCAGATCGTACGTTTTTTTTAAGTACCCTACAACCATCGCAAGACAAAAGTCTTGCGATGGTTGTAAGGTGTGTGCCCAGCCTTACCTGAGCAAACTGAAGAGAGATGCTGATTGGTTGCCATGGGCAACTGCTCCAGATTCTGTTGCTCCAGTTCTGATAAATTCCCCCCATAGTGTGTGTGTACATATATATTGTTCCCTAATGGAAATGGATAGTTTCTTCCAGGAATGAAGCCGTTTTGGGTGGGGTTTAAACAAAAGCAGTTCGTATTAGATAAGAACTGATCCGAGTAATGCAGAGGTCTGGGTTATAAAACCTTCTTGGAAGGGTGCAACTTCAAATGAACATGCATGTTATCTTATTGCTCCTGTTTTCCTCTCAGCAACGGCTATGAACAAGTCTCATTCATTTTATAAAACATAGTTGTGTCAATGGGGCGATCATATTCTTCAGGCTCTATAACAGGGGTAAAATCTACAACTCCAACTGTTGTGTAACTACAAGTCCCACAAGGCATTGCAAGACTCTGACTTCTACAGGCACGACTCCCAGAGGCAGAGACATGATGGAATATGTAGTTTCACCACAGCAGAAGTGCCAAGTGGTGTATATCTAGTTCTACACTAAATGGAATATGAGGAAATCTGGTCCATTCAATCAAAACTGTTCCAAGATATGATGTGAGATGTGACGCAAGTGCTTCCATGTTGTTATTGTATACATGTCAGAAAGGACAGCTATTCAAACAAGTCTGTCACAGTTTTCTTTTATTGAGATATACTGAATGCTCAGTGTACATCCTGTATTTTCAAAACATTTATATAGTTGTTTGAGATCAATAAAAAAAAAATAAAACAAAACATAATTGTGTCATGGAAACAAATTTATTAACAAGTCTACAAATTGCTGGTACAAAAGACCTGCAGCCACTACATCAATCATTCTCAGATAGCTGATGGCAGTGCTGGGAAGTTGGCACATTGGTCTGCCCCTCCTGCATCTTTATTGCCCGCTACATGTGACAGGAAGTCTCACTGGACAATAGGGAGGGACGGTAGATCCTAGGACAAAAAAATGTGGCTTTTAGCATATGAAGGCACCTCAAAAGATTTGAAAAGTTCCATATTATGAGCAGCTTGTAAACTTTGCATTGGTGGCTTGATGCTCAGGTACTCCCCACTTTTACTGAAAGTGATATTAAAGTCAAAAGGTTTTTCAGCTATTTCAAATTCTGATGAAATCACTTACAATGGATGCTGTTTAAAAAATGTTAGTTTCCTGCAGAATCAGCTGGTCCCCTGAGCACTGGCCCTGATATCCTGTTTTAGGGTGGCTGCTTTGTCTTTCAGGGTCTTATGGAGCCACCCTTGTGTGTTCTTGTAAGCTGTGTGTGTCTTTATAAACACACAGGCACAGCAGGACAAGCCTCTTCCCCTCCTCCCTGCTTTACATTTCTCCCATGTCAAGCTAGGAGATGGACAGCTGCTGTAGACTGTGCTCTCCCTTGTGATCTTGTACTGGACAGGAAGTTCAGGGAAGCCAAGCTGAGAGACTTGGAGCTGTTCAGAAACATGATGACTATAAGATGTAAATAAATACTTTGCTGCTTTCATTACTGAAAAAAGATTGAAAGTTGAATACTGCCTTAACTCAATCACCAATAACAGTAAAGCGTCAGAGGTGTTTTCTTTTAGGTGCCGCTAAACAAGACCCTCAATATTTCTTGACATGGGGGAAACATTTTGAAATTGGATTTATTAAACACTTGAGAACTTATTTTTAGTGCAATCATTCAGCTATGATTTCTGCTAGTACTGCTATTACTACTGATAGCTCTATAGTAATAATAATGATGATAGAAAGGACACCGGCTTCATTCATCCCTTGGTGGTGGGGGGAGACGGAGCCACCTAGTCATGGCCCCGGAAAGTGGTCACCATCCTCTCTGCGTGTCACGAGGAATTCCTGGGTCATAGGGGAGACGCTGGGACTTCCTCTATTCTATCGCTGGCTGATACACATGAGTAAACGGAAACATCAAAAGCAGAAATGATTCCTAGTGTTACATAACTTTATTCTCAACTGTATTAAATGTAACGTTCATAGAGGAAAAATTGCACAATGTAACCCCTTCATTGTGGACTGCAGACCAGGACTGTGTAGCTCACAGGCTGTCCATTCAGACTGGAGCCATCATTTATCCAGTGTTTGCTATGTACAACATAGATGTTGTTTTATTCTCAAAATGTAATACACAGTGAGCAAAACTAGGGGCCTTCCAATGGGCTCTGTGTATTCAAACAGCAACTGTGCCCTTTCTGTGCATTAGAAGGATGGACAGTCTGACTCCACTTATGTCTGTGTATTAAGAAGAGGGGAGAGGTCAGTGTATCCTGATGTCTGTGTATTAGGAGGAGAGGAGAGGTCAGTGTATCCTGATGTCTGTGTATTAGGAGGAGAGGAGAGGTCAGTGTATCCTGATGTCTATGTATTAGGAAGAGAGGAGAGGTCAGTGTATTCTGATGTCTGTGTATTAGGAGGAGAGGTCAGTGTATCCTGATGTCTGTGTATTAGGAGGAGAGGAGAGGTCAGTGTATCCTGATGTCTGTGTATTAGGAGGAGATGAGAGGTCAGTGTATCCTGATGTCTGTGTATTAGGAGGCGAGGAGAGGTCAGTGTATCCTGATGTCTGTGTATTAGGAGAGGAGAGGAGAGGTCAGTGTATCCTGATGTCTGTGTATTAGGAGAGGTCAGTGTATCCTGATGTCTGTATACATAACATCTGCTTATTGTAAATTCTTTATTTCTTGGTTTTATTTCCCCCCCAGCCTGAGTCCAATTCTTCCGGAATCTGGCATTGTCGCCGATATTGACATCGAGGAGGCCCTGGAGTCCAGCACAGAGCAGTTCTACGAGTTAAAGAGCCAGCCCATCCCTGCCAGGTGAGATCATTGGGGCTTTGTTGGGACATGGGACACCCACGCAGGAAGAATGCGCCGTGTAGACACAAAAACAGGAGACGGAGAACAGGAAGAGCTGATAAATTTCACATGAACAGGACAGAAAAACAGCAACGCGATTCATTCCTGACAGGCTGTAAGATAAGAGAGCCACACGCACAACTCAGCAGTTTTATACAGTTTTTTTCCCTAAACCAGCAAAGCCAATGCTATCTGTAAAAATTCTACTTTCCTTAACGGAGTATTTCCAGCGAGTAAACATTTTTGATTAATATTATTATACAGGATTTATATAGGGCCAACAGTTTGTGCAACGCTTTGCAAATAAAGGAAGACATTACAAATCAAGACAAGATGATAATGAGGGTTCTAATCATAAAGTTTACCTTTTGCTGTTTCATATGAAGGCATTTCATATTCTAAATTATTAGTAGGTTCTCCCACTTGCATGTTCAACAGGGTAATTAGCTTCTTGCTGACTTCCGACTGAAATAAAAAAGATGGTATTGTGTTTAATGAATCGTTATGGTTCTCATCTCACCTGTAGATTTGAATATCAATAAGAGAATTGCTCTGTTGCACTATTATAAAGCAATTGTAACTGCCCCCCATTTACATATTGCATCTACAATCTATACATTCGTTTTCTGCAGCATTTATCAGATCCGCTATTGTTCTAAAAAGATGCGGTCTTTATAATGTAATGTTTCCAGGTTTTGTTACTGGGAGTAGCCCAAGAGGTTAGGTCAGGACAGAATAAATTGTGCGAACTAAGACAATTCTTTGTCCTCTGTGCACATGTGGAATCAATGCCCAACTCAGATATCCAGGGGGAGGAAATCATTGTGAATTGCAATGCATGATGGGAGAGAGCAGGCCAAAAAGAAAAAAAAAAGCAGTTTCTATTGTGATGTCATATCACTTTTCCAAAATAAGTTTATAGTATCCAGCATGTTTCTTATTAGCCTACAACATTCAGAATGGCCCAGGAGCGCTTCCTACTGGTCATGTCTGGTACTGCCACATTATTTTCCTATTGGTAAAACCTCCCATAAGGAAAATCCAGGGGCTGCCATTTGTGATCGCTGTCTGAAAATGCTAGCAGCCTGGCTGCATGCTGATCCTTTGGCTTCAATACTTTCTGACTCACTGACCTGAATCGAGCACGCAGATTAAAAATCAGAAGTGTTCATCTACATACTTGGTCCAGTGACACAAAGGTAGTAAAGTAAGGAAGAAGGGTGGGGAGGGTTAGCATGAAAGCCAGGCAGATAGAATTTTTAGAAGGAGTTTAGCTTCTGCGTTTTCTAACGGCAGATTTTTTTTAAAGCCTAACTTCAGCCGTACTTTTTATTTGTTTTTGGCTATAGTGTATTTAAGGGTTAGGTTTTGAATGCTGCCCACATGCCTACTGGGAAGATATCCCCTCAATTCCTTTCAGGACAAGAAGTGATGGAAAATCTATACAACAGAGATACAAATGAAAACAAGACTGCATTTTAGTAGAGTAAGGAATGGTTGGCACTTCTGACAGCGAGCTCGGAGAGGTGGCTACTTTACAACACACACAGAGATCATGGGGAACAAAAGTAGCCACCCTCCAGAAGGAAGGACAGTGTCGGCACCAATTCAGAGATGATTTGAGGATATACAGCCGAGTGATACACAAATAAGATACATTTTTGTTAATAGGGCTTGTTCACACCAAATCTGGACCAGAGTTTCTGCACATGCAGTGCAGTGTGTTTTGCTGCGTTTTTGCCACGATTTTGCCGCATTCCGGGCCGTTTAAAAAATATATACATGCATTTTTTTGTGCCCAAAATGGGCTCCCAAGGCGTTCACATGCGTTTCCATGCATTTTGGTGCGTTCCAGAGCAGAAAAATAGGGCATGCTGCAGTTTTTCCACATGCTCTGGAACTGAACACTCTGGTGTGAACTAGAGCCCAAAATAGCATTGGAATACATTGGATGCATTTTTGATGCTCTGCTCCGCACTTGGTGTGAACAAGCCCATGAATGCATTTTTAAGGTTTAGTGTCATAATTTGTTCTCTCTGACCCTAAACGCTGCTGTTGTGTGTTAGACAGCAAATGGAAAAAGAACTTCCCAAAAGATATGCATTCAATTTTTATTTTTTTTAATGAAGAAAAAAAAGGGCAACAAACAGATACTGAGCGAGAAAAAATTGTAGTAAAAAAAAAAAAAAAGTTATTCTTGCGATCTCTATAAACAAGCCCCTTGGTTAGAAACCACCAGGAAGTTTATAACTCCACATTGCAAGTTATTCTAAAATGTTTTCCTAAAGTGGACTTTTCAGTAACTTTCCAAGTCTGCGTGAATACATTCTTGACCTATCACAATATGCAGCAACAGTATCATTCTTCTGAAAAAGCTGCACCGTTTTTCATTATAAAGCAGTCCAGTGACTTTGTCTAGGCAGAGATGTCACTAGTCTTCTGCTGTGGGCAGGAGGAAGCATTTCCTTAAGCTGCCCACACACCTCACAATTTATCTGCAGATTTTCTGTGGTCAGATGGAAAAAGTGCAACAGATTGGCCCAGGTGGAGATTACTCCATCCACACAGTTAAGTGTAGATGGAGGAATCTGTTGCACCTTTTCCACCTGACCACAGAAAATCTGCAGATAATTGTAAAGGTCCCCACACACCTTACGATAATCGCGGGAAATCCCGCGATCGTACGATTATCGTAAGGTGTGTGGAAGCCGTGCGACCTCTACTACTGTAAGGTCGCACGACTTTAAACTTACGGACATGTTTGAAAACCTGCCGAGCATCGTACGATGTTCGGCGGGTTTGTGCCATGTCCGTACGATAACAGCCGTACGGGCCGGTGTGCAAAAGCGCACACTGCCCGTTCGGCATTGCGGTCATCGGAAGCCCGTCCCTCAGGGGGCGTGGCTTGCGATAATCGCAAGTACGATCTGCCTATGCAAGATAGGCAGATCGTAGGTTTTTTTAAGTACCTTACAACCATCGCAAGACAAAAGTCTTGCAATGGTTGTAAGGTGTGTGCCCAGCCTAAGGTGTGTGGGCAGCTTTAGTCTCCTCTCCCCCAGTCATCAGACTGTACATTGTAACTCTGTAACAGCAAGTCAGAAGGTGAGAGGCTGCAGCAGGGGCTGACGTTGTTGTTGTTGTTATTATACAGGATTAATATAGCGCCAACAGTTTGCGCAGCGCTTTACAATAAGGGAGACATAACAATCACAATAGAATTCAAGACAAGATGGTAAGGAGGGCCTTGTTTCAGATATTTGTGAACACAGCCAAAAACTGAACAGGGATCAGGAATTACATAACTGTATCATCTCTGAGCTGGCATCTCAGTTCAGGAAATAGATGCTGACCATGGATGATGCACCAAAGATGGCGTTGTCTTTATGGTAGAAAAGCAGATGAAAGCATTTTTAGGAGGAGTACTGTGATAACATTCGATAATGCCAGTTAGCATGCATGCACTTAACATATAAAATATTTATCTTATACTGAGTCCACTTCACAGATTGTATATTTTACTGGGTTTTTTTTGGTTTGTTCTGTGCAGTCAGACGCCAGTGCCCTCCCCTCAGATCCCACTACAGACTTCCAGTGTCATGTCTTCGCGGGTTCTCCTCCGGCAGCAGCTGATGCGTGCACAGGCCCAGGAGCAGGAACGGAGGGAACTGGAACAGAAAGCCACACAGCTCTTAACGGAGCGCGGCAATGTCCCACCAGCTACACCAGCCATCAGTGTGACTCAGCCAGCCCGTCCGACTCCAGCACAGGTGCCGCTGGAGGTGCTAAAGGTAAAACCTATTTATAAACTACGCAAATTATGTATACAAAATATCCAAAATTTGAAACGCCGGACTGTTTTGGCATGTACAAAGACCCTATAGTATAACTCCATCATCATTTATGCAAAACATCTTTCGCTTTAGGTGTCCTGATACCGCTAACTAGCAGGACCATTTGCAGAAATTTGAATATTAGCTCCTGTGTGTGACCACTTGCTTTTATCACTAAGTTGTCTATTCACGAAGCTGCCGAAGGATCTAGCCGTAGCTTCGGCCGATCCTTCGGCTAGCTTCGGCCCCTGGACCCCTTCGGTTCATTAGAACCGAAGGGCTGTTGTACGGGCTATTCACAATAGCCTGTACAGCTCCCGAACGTGGCCGAGCGGCTCAGTCGAGTCAAACGCATATGCATCGGCTCGGCTGAGCCGTGCTGAAAGCCGAAGCTGGCCGAGCGGCCTGCCAGCTCGGCCTGCTTCTGACAGCTGGGCGGAGCCAGCCGTGATCTTACGGCTGGCTCTCAGAACAATTAGCAGAGGGAATACATTGCTAGTTTACTATTGGCTATTGCAAATTGAAATAGCCAATAGTAATGTAGCAATGTATTTCAATGGGGGGAAAAAAAAAAATTTCTATTCTGACATCGCTCCGTGTCAGAATAAAGAAAAAAAAAGATACAGCAGTGTTTCTCTCCTTGGCGGCCGGGAGCGGGAGGCACCCAGAGTGCCCGGGAGAGTTTTTTTTTTTCGTGTTTTTTTTTTTTCGTTTTTTTTTTCACGGCAGCAGAGCCGCCGGACAATAGGAAACTATTGGGCGGAGCTAGCTGTCACTGCTAGCTCCGCACAATCGTTTTCTATTTACTTTTTAAACTTTAACTCTTTTTCTATTCTGCTCGGTCCCTCTGAGGGATTAGCCGAACAGTGTTCGGCTCACTTCACTTGGGGTCAGCTGTTCACTCGGCTGCCCTCGGCAGCTTAGTGAATAGACCCCTAAGTTATAACTTGATATATCTGTACAAGGAAAAGAAAAAGACATTACCCATGATGCAGTGGGAGCATTCTGTGCTCCTGCAAGAACTGCGCTGCTAATCAGCATGTCTTAGTTCAGGGGGTGAGCCAAACACATTGTTATGAGGTTGTTGGGCATTGAAGAGCTGCTTATTTACATAGTATATGTGTATTTATGTAATTGCTTTTGTTTCATTGCCTTTGGCACTGACATCTAGTGAAAAACCACCCTACGCTAGAGCACACCTTCCTGTAGTCTGTCCTCTGTTTAACTGCTGATTGTGTCCATATGTGCAAGATTTCCTCTTACTTCCTGTTCAAATGACAGGTGCCACCTGGGATAGGAAATGAAGGGAAATGTCCCCAACAGGACCAGAAAAAGCACAAGACACCAGTGCAACAGAACACATGGGAGCTGCCTATTAACACAAAATGAATAGATGTTATGTAACTGATCTTGTGGCCACCCTTCATATATGTTTTCTTCTCACAGGTGCAGACCCACTTGGAGAACCCAACAAAGTACCATATCCAGGAGTCACAGAGGCAGCAGGTTAAGCAGTACCTCTCCACCACCCTCGGAGCTAAAATGCCCATCCATGCTTCTGCTCCAAGCACCACCAATTCGGCCCCCCCTGTGTCTGGAGCCTCCCCTCAGACAGAACACGCGCACCTTCCATCGGCCAGCAGCGCTCCCAACAGCCCCCTGGCTCAGCTAAAAATCGGCTCCAACTCAGAGAAGGAGGTATGTATTATAGAACAATGCAGGGGTGTGATTGTTCTCTCTCCCATCATCATCTGATCTTTTCAGCTATTTCTTTCTGCACATCAGATATTTATTTTTGTTGCTCTGGGATACGACTGCATTGATGCTGAACAATTACTGCGTTTACATACCCAATTTTTTTTTGTGGGTTGCTGGATTTTACAGAATAAGTGGGTGGCGGGTAGTGAGCAACGCCGCTAAGAGTCGGGCTAGGAGAGTTTAAGAGCTCTGCTTCTCTATGCCCAGCTTTTAACAACCTGGGATGCTCTGGCCAGCGTCCTGCCCAGCTCCTGGAAACCAGTGACATCTCTGGTTGATAGGAGCTTGGAGGGATGCCGGCAAAAGCATCTCAGTGTGCTCAAAGCTGACAAATGTGTAAAAGTTTAAATAACACATCAGAAATAATTCTTATCTAAGCTGCACTTTCTGGAAATATGCAGCTGTCTCCCAATGTGGATGTTTAGTTTTGATGCTTCCTCATTCCTCTGTTTGCACCCCGAAGGCGTGCACACAGTTCATGTTCAATGATGTTTTTCTTGTTAGGTCAGTGTCGTTTTATAAAGAGCGGCTAGGTATAAATTGCCATACAATTGTTAACAAATATTAGTATTAAACCTCTCATTTCCTGTGCACGATTCTGGAGGTTTACACTTATTTTTGAATGGTATTTGTAGCTGTTTCACAAAAGGTAACTTTTGTTTCTAATTTACTGGTCCTCAAAGTGAACCTATGCTTTTCCCCTTGCTTTTTATCCATCCTTTCAGATTAGTGATGTCATCGATGAGATCATAAGTTTGGAATCCAGCTACAATGATGAAATGATGGGATTTGTGGACAGAGCAAACCTACCTAGCACAGTGAGTGACCCTGATAAACTTCAGCGCATACATGAAGGAATTGTCCATCTTCATAACTTTATAACCCTCTGGATTTTAGAAAAGCTGCCCTGCAAAGATTAATATTGGGGGGAATTTATCATAACTGGAGCAGGCAGAATCTGGAGCAGTTGCCCATGGCAACCAAGCATCTTCTATCTTCAGTTTGCTCAGGAAAGAGTTGAAAATGAGACAGAGAAGCTGAATGGTTACAGTGAAAATCTGCTTCCCCCCCCCCCCTTTTGGTTTTACTTCTGTCTTTCTGCTCTCCATGAGAGATGTTTGTTTGTTGTCCTGGTGTCACAATAGTGGGGGATGCTGGTCTTGTGACACATAGAGTGCTGGAACCCTTTGACTACCGCGTAGTGGGGTATGGGTGTCACCAATAGTATAAATGGGTTTGTGCAAAGGCACAGAGCAAACATAGTGGCTAGTCTTCACTGGGGAGCCCTTTACATGCAATTATATAGTGCTGCATGACACCTCAAAATATAACCATCAAAGTCTGCAAATTAAAATTATATTGAATACGTGTGAGGAATGGTAAAGTTCAAAGGGAATGTACACTATATTGCCAAAAGTATTGGGACACCTCTCCAAATCATTGGATTCAGGTGTTCCAATCACCTCCGTGGCCACAGGTGTATAAAATGAAGCACCTCGGCATGCAGACGCTTCTACAAACATTTGTGAAAGAATGGGTCGCTCTCAGGAGCTCAGTGAATTCCAGCGTGGTACCGTGATAGGTTGCCACCTGTGCAATAAGTCCATACGTAAAATTTCCTTGCTACTAAATATCCCACGGTCACCGGTCAAAGGCTGGGCCATCTCAACATTGAACCCTACGGACTAAGACTGGGATGCCATTAAAGTTCATGTACATGTAAAGGCAGGCGTCCCAATACTTTTGGCAATATAGTGTATGTGTTTTAGTTCAGGAAAGGCTTATTCCCCTTTCAGTGCTACATTGTGACGCACCCAGGAGAACGAAGTCGGTTAAAGTAACATGTAAGCATAGAATTGGAATACGATCAGGTCGATTTGCCAAAGGCACAAAAGTGATATTTTTTTCACAGGTTTGTGATCACTAAAAATCCAAATGACATTGGGAGACATTTATAAATTTGGTCACATCATCAGTGTCTTTAAACTGCTGCACCCCTGATTTCTAGCACATACATTGAGAGATTTATTATCCTAGTTTATGTTTCATTCATAAATTCCTTCTAGGGCTGTGCAAATTAACGATTAATTTCTCGATTAATCGTTAATCTTTTTGATCGATTAAAATGTTTTTGATTGATTTTTTTTTTTAAACTCTCTGCACGAGCGCCAGCCAAGGCATTGGCCTATACACATACAGCACAGCAATGAAGTCATACAATGAACTAGGATCACACTAATCCAGCACGTTATTATTCTGAGTTGCCCCACGTGAGATTAATAACGTGCTGGATTAGTGTGATCCTAGTTAATTTTATTACTTCATTGCTGTGCTTTATGTGTATAGGCCAATGTAGTTGGATCTGTATGTGCATTATAATTAATCGAAATTAATAAATTAATCGATTAAAACAAATTTCGATTAATCGAACACAAAAATCTTAATCATTACCAGCCCTAATTCCTTCATAAGGAAAAGTCTCTCAAAGCTGTCTAAAATTGATGCAACACTTAAAAAAAGATGCTTAACAGAGAAAAAAACCTTTGTGGTTAGTTAGGATGACATTTTGGTCTTTGTCACTAGCAATTTTGTAGCAAAAACATTAAAACAAATCTCCCCAGTGTGTTCATTTCTATAAGCATTTAATGCTATCACTAGAGAGAGAGAGAGAGAGAGAGAGAGAGAGAGACTATTTTTTACTTTTTTTTCTTCATGATGGTTCTGTTTATGGTCAGTGGAGACCTGATCCAGACCCCCTCTTGCTGATGTGCGGCAACAGATCATGTCTACTAATGAACTGAATACGGCGACTATTTTTGAATAAATTAGAAATGTTAAAATGTTATTACTCTAATATAACTAATCTTAATGTTTCCCCAGCTTCCAGGATCAGGAAACCTCCTTGATATGTTCTGTGCTCAAGGAATGTCTGCTCCCAGCATCACTGTCAGCAACTCCTGTCCAGCTGACCTAACAAACATTAAGAATGAATATTCAGGTAGGTTTTCAAAATAGACATCTTTTGCCTCCACTATTGAACTAGACAACCTAAATAAAGAGGTCTTCTGCTTTTATATTACACATATATCAAATGCCCTCTTGAACTATTCCCCCCCTAGTTAAAAGAAAAAAAAACAACTACCTGCAGTAACAGGTTCTCTTGCTAGAACTGAAAGAGATGTCTATATACTGTTTACATTTCTCCGACATAGCACTGGGTTTGTAGCACAAATAATGGCATTAAAGGAGAACTATGAGGAGAGTGATTTTCACTCAACCTCATAGTTCGAGCCGACGTGTGACATAGAAACTGTCACACGTCGGCTCAGTGATACAGGAAGTGAGAGAACACATACCATCGTTCGCTCACTTCCCGATCCTGTCCCTGCAGAGAGCCGTGACTGTCACTCACGGCTCCCTGCAGGGATTTCCCCCCCCTCCGATCCTACAGTGCTGACTGGAGGAACGAACGGGGGAGGGGGGCGGGTACAGCTGGCTCTACCTCTAGATAGGCAGAGCCAGCTGTCACTCACGCAGCTGGGTGGATCCAGACAGTAATGTTGGGACAGTAATGTCGGTATCAGTCCCGGCTGCGGCGTCTCAGTATACCGCAAGCGTTAGCTCGCGGTATACTGAGCTTTGGGTCACAGGAGGACGCTAGTTTATGTCCTCCCGTGACCCTGAGGAGAACTATGGGGAAAAACACTGACCCCATAGTTCTCCTTTAAAGGATCATTTGTAGCATTTGTAGGATTATAATCCTTAACTCCATGTCCACCTTTCCTCTGACTCATGGTGGCTGACAGAATGGGTTTTATTGTATTGTTATTTATTACAGGTATTTATATAGCACTGACCATTTAGGCAGCGATTTTACATACTATTCATGCATTTTAGTCCCCGCCCTTATGGAGCTTACAATCTAAGGTCCCTATCTCACATGCACACATCCCCTTTCTAGGGCATATTCAGACAGGAGACAATTTTATGCAGAAGCACATCAGGAGAAGCTCCCATTGTGTTGCGGAACCTGGTTCTTTTTTTTCTTTAATGTCAGCTTTAGAGTAATGAGGAGTGGGCAAATACTGGAGGAAATATCCAAAATGTGTTCATAAATACCTGACAGAGGCATGGGCACTCCGTATATATTCTTTTCAGATTGTAGATTTCTAAAATTTGAATAAAGTTATATTTTGGCACCATTAAGATAACAGCAGTTTGTTTAGATTTCCCTAAAGTTTTCTCATTTCTGTTATGCAGAACATGAAGTAAAAACACTGATAAAAGAGCGCCAGAAGAAGGACAATCATAACTTAAGTAAGTGAAATTGGAAGTTGAAGCAAAGTGGTCTTTACAAGGTTCATGCTACAAATAGCTCCAACTGCCTCACCAATAGAGTTCCTGCCTACAGCAGCCCCGCTGAGACACCCCAACTTCTATATATGGAGCATAGCCATGCTCTCTGTGAGCTCTTACAATGCAGCACTTAATGCTTGATTGGCAATCACCAAACTTTAGCTTGTTATATTTGTATGTAATTCTGGTGCAGACACTAACTAGATCTTAGAGCAATTATTTGCACATTTTCTGTTTCTGTTTTTTATGTTTAAGTTTTGAAACGGTAGTTTTATATATTTTTTTCTACTACTACTTACATAAAATCTTTATTTTACAAGTAAACATCTAACTCAATGTGCACCTTTGACACTGTTTTTACAGGCCATTATAGGTCTTCTAAAGAAGAACACTTATACAACAGTTTTCTTTCAGACTGTCTCTCTTTCATTGAAAGTCTGTATGGATCTGTACAGAGGAGGGGAGTGAAATTACTCTGACTCATTAACCCCTTCATGACTGAGGCCCTTTTTTCATTTTTTGCACCCATGTTATATTCCACATTTTAGGCCTGAAAATGACATAAAACCCCCCAACATTATATATTTTCTGAATGCCAAGACCCTATAGAATAAAATGGTGGTAGTTGAAAATTTTTATGTTGCGCAATATTAGCGCAACTCCTTATTAAACCCCAACATTTAGTGAAAAATTTAATTTAATGCCCCAAAACAAAACAAAATACCAATTTTTTTAATGAAATATAAAAGATGAGGTTACAA